TATTAATAAATTGTTAAGTAATAAACGTCAAAATCAGCTATAATTTCAAATGATCAGTAAATGATCAGCAAGTGGTCGGATATTTTTTGGAGGGGAGTGTATGTCTGTAGCAATATTCATTAAAATATTAAACGCATTTTTGTGATTTTCTATTTGAGAAATATTGGTACTATTATTTTCATCATTCCATGTAAATCTTATATGCACTGCCTTTAAGATATTTAATATTTCCAAATCTTTTTTGAATTCCTTTTGATGCCCACTCATTTGATTTTTCTCTTTGGAAGTCAACTGATATATTTACATTTGGTATATCATTAATAGAAAGTGTTATCTTTAAAAGATAAGATAATAAACCAGGAGGTTTTATACTAGTTGCTGAAGATTTGGACCATTTTGGTATACAGAAACTAACATATATAATTTCATTTTAGCGTAATCTTTATCTTAAAGAAGAAAGTATTCGTGTTTTTTTATTAAAAAATTTAATGTTACACATATTTATTTTTCAAATTTTGCATTTTTCGGGGGGGATACATATACTTTATAAAAATTTATTTTTTTGGATACATATATAAATCACAAAAATTTTGGGGGGGGGATTTGTTAAACAGTTGTAAATTAAGTATTAAGAAATATTTATTATCTGTAAAATCCTTTTTGGAAATTCGTGTGACGTTACGTGATTTACTCCCGTTGCAAAGCAACGGGGACGGGGCAACTTAGTACATTTTCCTAAAAAATTTTTTTACTGATACTAGCTGTAGTTGTTTATTTATATAAGATAAATTATTACATTAATAATGTTTTAAAATCGAATTTTTCTCAAGAGAAATTTCGGTCTATTGCTAAAGAGATGCTTAATATAAAATTCAAATATTGTGTATTATCGAACAAAAATTTAACCTGCTTTATATACGGTTGGTAAGATTTACGATAATCTTTGAAACTTCTAAACCCATTCTTGTATAATTTGATTCTGTTGGTTTTTAAATTCTTAATAATCATGCTAACTTTATTCAAAATTATACTATAGCAAAAAGTTTTTTATAATTAATTGCTTTTTTTGCTCTTCCAGTAATAATAATAATAATTATTATATAAACAAGACGGAAATTAAAGTGAGATAACATTATCATTATAAAATAGATAGGGTCAGTTGGTCTCGGGTAACGACAACTTTCAGGGCAAGATGGACAGTTCATGCTCGATGCGGAAGCAGCGGTCTTCGTTAAGATGAAAATCAAATTCAAAAAAAATAAAAACAACACAAATAAATAATATATAAATATATATTCTTTATATATAAAAAAAATTTTCCACAATTTAAATGAAAATGATAATTTAAAAGTGACGATGCATGCATGTACATTAGATGATTTTTTTTTTTATAAAAAAAAAAAAAATGTTTCACGGAAATTATGGATCAAAAATGGTCAAAGCACAAATAAACAATGTTTGAATGTAAAAAAGAAATGGAAAATAAAATTTATGATGATAATTGATAAAAAGAGGAGCCATTCATTCAAACTTACTTGAACCATCTGAAGGTTGGACTAAAGAAGAAGGCAGCATTGAATTGAATTGAACCACTGAGAAGCGGACAAATTTCCTTTCTGTATGGGTGGTTGAGCCATGAACTGGGGGCTATATTTGGTGATAATAAGGACTCGTAGAATTAGTGTTGTTGTCGTCGTAGGTCTGTTATAAATGGATGTTTTCGAAAGAGGAACTAGAGAGGTTGTCAAATTTGTGTGCGTGTACAATGAATTAAAAGCCATTGTTACAGAAGACTTTCGATGTGTTGTTTCCGAAGAGAGTTTATTTTTTTTTTTTTCGTATAATATAGTTTTTAAATGAATATCGTAGACGAAAAAGTGAGGGGTAAAGGGTATATTAACTTAAAAGTTAAAATATTTTGATGGGAAATAAAAATCAATGTATTTTCATTTAACTGATCGACAAATATGAATATATCGAAGAGAAAATTACTTTATAATTTCATGCAGGATGTCAAAAGTATTTTACATTTTCGAACCAATGATTTATTATTGTCCTGCATGGTGAATTTCATGATTTTTGGTCACTTCATGCGTGATTTGCTCCAATAAATAAAGATGTACATGAATATCCTGAATTGAATCTGAATGTATAAATTTACGTGATCTGTAAAAGCCATTCTGTTTTGGCATATGGATCCTTGGCAATAGCGTTCCAGTTCTTACAAGTAAGAGCCAGATTAAAAGGGTGATCTACGTGTTTAAATATATTGATTTTAATCTCATCTTCGATAAATTGAAGTCTTGGTCCTGAATAATTTGGTTTATAATTGTGATCTGTACATTTTCAATGTCCGCAGCTTTTTGATTGTCCCGGTATTCTTCTGCAACTTATAAAACTCTACAAAAAAATATGTGAATTATGCGTAATTAGGCCGATTATCGAAACAGGTTATCATATAAATTTTAAGGATTAGCACTTTTTTCTCTCCCGGACATTGTCCCGTGACAACACTGCTGGTAAAATTATTGCTTTGAACAACCACTTTTACAATGTAATGCATTGAATAAATGATTTATGCAAGTTTTTATAATGATATTTATATATATAGCGTATCACTGAATAATAATCTAAGTTTTTTTTTTAAAAAAAAAAAAATCTGTAAATTACGTACCATTTTTTAAGAAAAGGAAAAATGCAAATTCCATTGCAGAAAATTTTAAAATATATATGAGTAATTTAAAATGAAAATAAAATAAAATGAAACTGTGTTACATTTAAGTTTTTTTTTTTGTACGTATGTTGATTATAAGATGTTTTCCGATTTTTCGAATTATATGTGTTTGTGTTGTATCTATATATATAAATATATTATGATTTGGTAATCAACTGTTCACCCCTTTCAGGATTTAATTCAGAACGTTACACAAAAAAGATTGTTATCTCCGCTTTTTCAAACTTTCCGCGGAAATTTACTATTATATTATATAAACTGTATAATATAATTTTTTTTTTTGATTTTTATTTATATTACATTACTCAAACAAACTTATATAAGAACCTCCCAAACAAATTTTTTTTTAAAAAAAAAATAAAAATCCATTTTTACAAATTAATAAAAGACTCGCAAATACATTTAATAATAACGGAATCCAACCCTACTTATGATGAGCGAAAATAATCTTCAAGGGCTTTACACAAACACTCCAATCGTAACTGGAAATAACGAACATTACAATGACACCTCTTTTGCTACAACAAATGCACATGAATTAACTTCTCTTTACGCGTCGCAGTTGAACACTAGTGATCAATTACAAAGTCTCGCGAATGCATTCAACGATAACGGAATCCAACCGGGACCATCTTTTACTTATGACTTATCCGTGACGAACCATAATAATCGTACAGGGCTTTACACAAACACTCCAATCGTAACTGGCAATAACGAACAATACCATGCGACCTCTTCAACAACCAATGGACATGAATCAACTTCTCTTTACGTGCCGCAGTTGAACGCTAGTGATCAATTACAAAGTCTCGCGAATGCATTCAATGATAATGGAATCCAACCAGGACCATCTTTTACTTATGACTTATCCGTGACGAACCGTAATAATCTTACAGGGCTTTACACAAACACCCCAATCGTAACTGGCAATAACGAACAGTACCATGCGACCCCTTTTGTAACAACCAATGGACATGAATCAACTTCTCTTTACACGCCGCAGTTGAACGCTAGTGATCAAATACAAAGTCTCGCGAATGCATTTAACGATAACGGAATCCAACCGGGACCATCTTTTACTTATGACTTATCCGTGATGAACCATAATAATCTTACAGGGCTTTACACAAACACTCCAATCGTAACTGGCAATAACATGCGACCTCTTCAACAACCAATGGACATGAATCAACTTCTCTTTACGTGCCGCAGTTGAACGCTATTGATCAATTACAAAGTCTCACGAATGCATTCAATGATAATGGAATCCAACCAGGACCATCTTTTACTTATGACTTATCCGTGACGAACCGTAATAATCTTACAGGGCTTTACACAAACACCCCAATCGTAACTGGCAATAACGAACAGTACCATGCGACCCCTTTTGTAACAACCAATGGACATGAATCAACTTCTCTTTACACGCCGCAGTTGAACGCTAGTGATCAAATACAAAGTCTCGCGAATGCATTCAACGATAACGGAATCCAACCAGGGCCATCTTTTAATGAGCTTTATAATGCTGCTTACAGCATAACTGATGACCTATACGTGACGAGCCATAATAATACAATCACTCCAATCGTGACTGGCAATAACGAACATTACCCTGTGGCTCCTTTTGCAACAAATGGACACGCGCAATATTCTTCTCACATGCCGCAGTCGAGTGTGACATTAGAACTGCCAAAATCTTCAAATTTCTTTCCCTCACTTAATTCACCAAACGAGATTAATGTAAATTCTCCATTGGCTAATTTAGACATGCAACAACAATTTCAACAAGATATTAATTATTTGAATAATTATTTTCATTCTGTTAATCAGCTTCAATTAAATAAAGAACCCTTTGCAACAAAAAGATACGAATCAGATTTGCAATACCCCTCACACAAATACTAGGGAAATATTAATCCTCGTAATCACGTTAATTATAATACACGACCCCAAATTTTTAGAATCGGTTAGTATTCAAACAATCACCATTATATTTTTATATAATGCATTCTTGATTTTCATATCTTTCAATTTTAAATTTTCTTTTTTTTTAAAAAAAAAAAAATACCGATTGAATTTCATAAAAAATTTATTATTTGTATTTGTGTGTTTTTTTTTCAATTTAAGTTTTTTTCTTTAAAATTTTTTTTTCACTTGGGTTTTGAATGGATTTTTATTGGAAGGCTTTTTTTTTTTAAACATTTTAATACATTGTATTTTAAATTCAAATAAATTTATTTATTGTATTTCAAAAATAAACAAACGTTAAAAATGGTTACTATATGATATGCGAAAATGCTAACTTTTATTCAAATTTGATAGATAGGCATGTTATTATTAGGAAAAAATAATTTTTATTTTTAAAAAATAGAAAATTTTTTAACCTCCATCTATTCATATCATTGTGGTGGTTCAGGTCATTGAAAATTTTGTTGTTTTTAATTCATCACCTTTTCTACTAATTCGAACATAACAACCCACTTCGGACGTTAGTTTTTACCAACAGAAGAATAAATTTCATTTTTTAACCTAAAAAAAAAAATTATTTTTTGACTTTTTTAAAAAAAAGGTTTATTGGACGAAAGGTACGAGTGAAAGCTAATCAATAAAAAAAATATGCAAGATATGGATAAAAAAATATATTCCTTCCCACATTCTAGATGAGCGCAAACAAAATGAAACATCAAAAAGTTGAAAGATTTTTAATAATAAATTTCCGATAAAAAAAACGTAGATAATTTATCCGAAAACAAATATAACTAAGAATTTTCAATTACCTTTTAACGATCTTTTTAAATATTGAACCGCAGCTACTTAAACTAAATTGTAATATTCGATAAATTTTTAAATTTTACAACTTTTTATTAATAAAAAAAATTAGTAAGTGTAATTTTAACTTTTATAGTAAAGAAGAATGTTTTATTTTATTATTAAAACAATTGTGTCTAGATTTATTACAACTTAATGTAATGCCATAGCTAAAAAATTTGAGATTGAGGCGGATTTTGTTGAAATGAAGAATTAATATTTTTATAAATATACCGGCACCACCTCCTCTTTTATCACTATTCAGGATAATGATTATTACCAATAAATCTGCATGATGATAATTCAAAATTTGAAGCAACCCATATTTTTTTTATTATCTTCTATTTCATTTTTTACTTCATTATGGAATTTTCTTTTCAATAAAATATCTAAGTTTCTTAAGTTAGATTTTGTATTAATGCTAATCTAAATGCTAAAAAATAGAGAAACCCATGTTCTGGAAATAGTTAATAATAGCTTCTTCTTTAGTCTGCAATATCTACATCTCTTATGTTATCATTATGATTATAATTATATTTTAAGTGGTTTTCTATACTTTCTCTCAATTCTACAATTCTCTTTATCAATCATATGTACAGACCCCAGCCAAAAGTCATTGAATACCATTTTTAATACCATATTTCTAAAAATTCACTGATTAGAATAGACCAAATTTTACCGTTAGCCACTGCATACAGTATCTGGAGTCTTCTTATTCAAGAATTTGATTTTAAACTGAATAGTACTCATGTGTAAGGAACCGGGTACTATATTTTAGAAATATACTATTAGGATATTACACTGACTAATTAATCAAAACTATATCAGCTAACTATAAAAATTTATATATTAAAAATTTTTTATCATTACATAACAATCAAATTAACTTTGGATACCTTTCTATTATTAGTTAGTTGAAGGATATTTTGATAGATCAATAGTAATACATCATCATTCATCTGTGCAAGTTCTTTGTTTATTTCAAAAATTAGTATTTATTTCTATTAGGTGGATCTTTGCATATTTACAGAAATTTGGTTTGCTTTACGCAATTTAATTTTTCTTTTAAAAATCTTCAGTATTTTAATATGTACTAATTAGTATACTTCAAAATGATTCACTGCATTATTGAAATGTCAATTTACCTTTAAATTTTTATAGCAAGAATATATATAGTTTAAGAACAAAGTTATGTTAAGATATTTCATTTTGTAAAAAAAAAATTTTAAAGATTTGACCTCAAAAATCTAAAATTTTTGTAAATATTAATTTTTAAAAAGGAATATTCAACCCATTTTTAAAAAATTAATGTAGTTACTTTACAACTGTTCTTAAGAATAGTTTTAACTAAAAAAAGAAAAAATAAGCTCAATATTAATGGAAATCTTTTAGAAGTTTAAGTTTATTTTAATAGTAAATGGTTATAAAAAAGGATTTAAACTTATTTTAAAGCTTTGTATAAATATATTTTGATTATGATAAAACTAATTAAGTGTCTAATATAATTTTAATTAATTAGTTAGTGTGACACTCCAATACATTATGCAGGTGATATAAGATTTTATGTAATTTATTATTTACAGTAGTTTGTATTATTCGAAAATAAGATATAATTTATAAAAAGCAAAAAAAAAAATTAAAGATATACAGTAGCGGTCATAAGTATCTAACCGCCCGAGATCGTCCAAAATTATTATATAACTACCCCTTAAATTTTCCAGAAATATAATATAACACAATACATGA